CACTTTCCTACCGTAACGATGTACTCCAGCTGTCTGCTTCTCATGACGGCACAGAGAATACAGACAGTTTTCTTCTTGAGTTCCGTTTGTTTAAGACATCTTCATAAATCGTTTTTAATCTTTCTAGGGTATTCTCAATAAAACCAAATCCCCGCCACTTCCAAATAATTGTTCACTATCTACCAACTGTCCGTGATTCACTGCCGTATTTCAGGATATGATGTATTTGGTTCATGAGAATTCTCTCGTTAGTCTTAATTGGCATAGTTGATTTCACAATGATCTTTCCTGCACGTCGGCCCTCCCCATAAGTGCTGAGATCTTCTCCAAAGCATCTTATGTTGTTTACGCTGACGGCCCCTGTTCTGTTGTGGTTATCTAGCGCCTGTAAGCTCTAGCACGATTTTCACATAGTGCTGCTTGAACAGATATATCCAGACTTCGCTTCTGAGTCAGAACCATTTTTTTCACATCAAGAACACAAATTCTATCTGCACCGCGCGAAATTACGGAGCTGTTTGTAAGAAACCTTAGATATTGCGCGAAACCATATAAATGTGGTTTAACCGGGAAAATGTAAAAACAAATGTTTAAGTCAACAAGGAAGAGAAAAACATGATGATCAAAATGAGGTCAATTCCTTACGCATACACAATAATAAAACGGTCAAAATATTTAATTACGTGGTAAAAGAAATGAGTTTTATTTCATTAACATAATTTGTAGGATGAAGGAGCTAGAAATATATATATATATATATATATATATATATATATATATATATATATATATATATATATATATATATATATATATATAAATCTAATTCCACCTATAAGCTTCGGGGAAAAATTATGAGATAGAAGAGAAGACTTACTGTCCTTTTACAAACATGTCGTAATAGACGAACAATTATTAGTTTGTGTAAAGCAAATGTGTTGAGACTAAAGGGGGAGGTATGACAATAGGTAAACCAACTATCTTTTCCAGAGCGAAGGCAGAAGACAAAGACTGAATATAAACAGCATCCCGCGTGGGTTCCGGGTAGGCAAAACAAGAAAAGACCATTTGACTACCCAAAAGCATGTCGTAAGAGTTGACTAATTGGCAGCTTCCTTTCAAATCGGAGTGCATCTGCCTAATAAAAAAAAATGAGTTAGATCTGAAAAATAGATCCCTTATATGGGTTCAGGGCTCCCTTGTAGAGAAAATATGAATGGATTCACTGCTTCTCAAGCGAGCATGTCGTAGGAGTCAACTAATCGAGGAACCTCCTTTGTATTCGGAGTGCAACTGTCTGAGCGGTAAGAAAGAGCCAACAACATACAAATAAGCCAGTAAAACGGCAGTACACGCACATCTCAGGTCCTGACACAAAGCCACATGGAAGAACAACCAGGGTATTCTGCCGAGGCTTACAGTCGATCAACAGAGAAAACGAAGAAGAAGAAAAAGAAGAAAAATAAAAAAGAAAAAGAAAAAGAAAAAGATAGAAGGAAGAGGAGGAGGAGAAGAAGAAAAAGAAGAAGATGAAGAAGAAGAAGAAGAAGAAGAAGAAGAAGAAGAAGAAGAAGAAGAAGAAGAAGAAGAAGAAGAAGAAGAAGAAGAAGAAGAAGAAGAAGAAGAAGAAGAAGAAGAAGAAGAAGAAAAAGAAGAAAAAGAAGAAGAAGAAGAAGAAGAAGATGAATTAGAAGAAGAAGAAGAAGAAAAAGAAGAAAAAGAATAATAATAATAATAATAATAAGAAGAAGAAGAAGAAGAAGAAGAAGAAGAAGAAGAAGAAGAAGAAGAAGAAGAAGAAGAAGAAGAAGAAGAAGAAAAAGAAGAAGAAGAAGAAGAAGAAGAAGAAGAAGAAGAAGAAGAAGAAGAAGAAAAAGAAGAAGAAGAGGAAGAAGAAAGAGAAAAAGAAGAAGAAGAAGAAGAAGAAAAAAAAGAAGAAGAAGAAAAAGAAGAAGAAGAAGAAGAAGAAGAAGAAGAAGAAGAAGAAGAAGAAGAAGAAGAAGAAGAAGAAGAAGAAGAAGAAGAAGAAGAAGAAGAAGAAGAAGAAGAAGAAGAAGAAGAAGAAGAAGAAGAAGAAGAAGAAGAAGAAGAGGTTGGACTGATGGTACACGTACTTCTAATCGAAATAAAGAACATGATAAAAGCGATGGTTGTGACGATAATGCTGATGATAATGAAGATGACGACCCCGCCGCCAATTGTGGTAAAGTAGATGTTTGCTTTTGATATTAAAACAAGGTTTCCATGGTTTCAGAAATGTTAAATGAAGTAGAACTAGAGATTTCACCACAGGATACAGCGTGGCTAAGTGAAACTACTCATAGAAATTACATTGCTACACGTAAAACCAAGAACTAAAAGAATGAATTGTAACACAAGTTACGCGCAAATAATGAATCAATTATTTGTGTATGCCTCTGGGTTGCATTGTCGATGTCAAAATGTTTAAAGATTTACCAAACAAAATTCACCAAGATAAAGAAGCAGATCGATAAGCAACAGATGCTGCCATAGGATCGTTACCCTAGTGCGTCTCAGACACGAACTAGCACACGTCACCAGTGGCAACACAAGGAGACACGGAGTCAACATGTGTCCCTTATTTTGTTAGTTGTTGTTTCAGATTTCACATAGTGCGTTCTGTTTAAATCGTGTGGTCTATTGGTGAAGTGTGGTTTTTATAAGTGTATTTTTTGTCTATAGCTTCAAAATAAGATCAGAAATGACTGTTGTCATTTAAAGGTTAATCACAATGTCATTATAATTAAATATGCAACACTTACATACACAGGTTGTATATAATTCACCACTTATATGGTTAAAAATAAATTGAGGAGGCGAGGTTAAAAAGTTAGTTAATTGCGTGTCCTTTTGGAGACGTTGCAGAACTAACCCCATAACTTTTTGGCTGTTGTGATTTTTCTTGGCAAAATTTACGCCCAGTAGTTTGCCATTTCTTTCTAGATGTTCGGCTTCCCTGTACTACTGTCGAAACGAGGGCAAGGTGGACAGTCGCAGCTGGAATCGAACCCGGCACCCCGGCATTACACAGCTCGCTGAGGAGACGAGGAAGTCAGAATGAAATTCTAAAACGAATACTTGATGAGAGAGGCTTCAGGTGTTGGCCTGGAAACCATCTATGGAGCTGAAATAGTAACGGAGGACAGGAAGGAATGGAAGAATAGACTGTGTGCCATGACGTATAAATCCACAAACACATGTTGATAGTGAGATGATCATAATGATAGTTAATACTAATGCTTTAGTAAAGTGATGAACATTAAATGCGGTTTATTCAAACAAGGCGTAGACATAGCAGACATTGAGACAATTATTGTCATCAAAAGTTACAAGGAAAAAAAAAGGTAATATACTGGGGATGTCATAAAGAGAAGGGGACATAGCGGTTGAAATAGGTAGCGCAATGGGAAGCAAACTTGTTGAGAACATACGAGATGTTGATATATATAATTAAACATTAAAAAGCTATGAATTGGATCTCGCGATTCTGTAGGATTGCATTTTTACACTTAAAACAGTTTTTGATATCCCTTGAGCTGGGGATATATTAGTAATAAATCCCTTTTACACTAAAAGTGTTATTATTTGTCAGTTTTACATGTAGAAGTGTCGTTACGTGTCACTTTCACGTTTAGACGTGCCATTATATGTCATCGCTATATCCTGAAGTTTTCTTTTACATGCAGAAGTGTCATTAGCCTCACTTTTACAGTTTTAAAAAAGTTGGCTTGTGTCGTGCAGCTCGGGTGTTGTGGCGTAAAACCTCTTTTTCTTTAAACAATTTCAGACATCAACCTGCTTGTATTTAAAGTGTTTGTTGTCGCCAGAACCAAATAGTGTTAAGACAGCCGTTTCAAAATCAGACCCTCACTAATGTTACTGAGTACAGAATGGTAGAAACAAGGATGAGAGTTCTTAGAAGAGCTGCAGGAGTAACCAGACCAACTAAAAGTCTAGAAATAAAAAGAAGAGTAAACCTGAAACTAGATATGCAGTTTATTAAAGAGCAATAGATGAGATGGTTCGGCCATCCACCGAGAATGCTTTGGTACCACATGCCACATGGAGCCAAGCTGAAGAAACGTAATGGACGTATAGCAAGGTGAAGGTCAAGCAGAACATTTTTTTAAAGGAAATTAAGCACTGCTAATAAAATGAAAGAAGGCACACAAGATCCCTACATCTCCCCCAATACTTCAATTAAAATATCTCTGGAACTGAAGAAAATGCCGTTGTTTGTCATACCCCTGCAACATAGGAAAGGCCCTACGACACGACCAGGGATTAATGACAAGGAAAGTCATTCTCTTTCTGGGCCCGCCTTCTTGTGTTGTACCGCCATCTCTATACAGTTTGTCATCAGTATGCTGCTATATATTAAAATAGGTTTCATTACCCCAAACCAAATGTTTAGATGTTCTTCTACTAGTTTCAAAGTCCAGAAAAATAACTCGTTCCCGCCTCCGTGCAGACATTTTGGTGACCAACTTTACTGAGCTAGGCTTAACTGGAAATCCCAGTAGATTGAATCCATTGTTGGTGGATTAATCGAACAAGTTCGTGTGACTAAAAGTCGTTGAAAGTATTTTAAAGAATTTCTACCCCACTTCCCTGCACATTATTAGTAACATGTTTTACACTGGATTGATTTAGGGACGCATGAAGGCGAAAAAACAAAGTTAACTTCTTGTAAGAAGGGGATCCAAAGATACTACTCTATCCGGCAGACGTGTTAACTTCTAGGCTACAGTAATTCCCCATTCCGCAATACTTGCATACTATTAGGCGGCTGTGATAAGTGAGTTGTTAACAGAATGCATCGTTGAGAGTAAGAAGA